CAGAAAGCTTCATTTCCGGTAATATTCATTTTGATGTTGCAGATTTAAACAACCCTTGCCCCCTCTGAGAGCAGCCGTACKTTTTTTTCTGAAGCTTCCCTGACAGCGTCCTGGGCGGCCACAGCACATGGTGTTGTTGGCCATTAATTAGTGTAAAGCCCCTCCACCCTCCACCCCCCACCCTCCCAGCATGTCAGACGTGTTTATTTTGCACAACAAGAACAATTAAACAACAGCAGAGGCAGCCTCATTTGAAGTCCTTCCTACCTCCTCCGCTGGCTGGAGACGCAGCTCAGCAGACACCTTGCGGCACCCCGCTGCTGCCTTGTAACCTTCAGTGGGTGCCTTGAAATGCATTTTGTTGTACGTAAGCATATTATCATAACCAGGAGCCCACGCTGCCACCCACCTCTGAGCATCTTTGAAAAGCAAGGTTCCGTCATGAATATCAAAGACACTGAGGTTCATTTAGTCGGGGGGGGGGGGGGGGGCTGTGTACGGGCCACCAAGGCACACTGATCTGAATCTCATTTGTTAAGCTGTCCATCCTTATCTGTCAGCATCAGACGGTGCAGTTTCTCTCTTCCCGCCCCATCCTGCTTGTCTTACTAAACGGCAGGGATAGTTGGACGTGTTTGACAACTTAGACACGCAGATAAGAAGCTTTTATAAAAGGCATGTGTCTAATTTTCTATGTTTTATAATCCCCTGTATGTTCCTGAAAAACCACAACTAAATGCTGATTTGACTCCCAAACTAGACATATACAAACATACAAAACTTAGATGTCTTTTCAGCTCAAGTCCAGCATACAAGGACTTATTGTCCCTCTTTTCATGAACTTGACAAAACCCCACACTCCTAAATTGACAGCTAATCAATTTTACACTCGTTGATCTAAATTCTGGTGTGGTAGTAGCTGACAGTCATTCACAGTACATACTCAAAGCACTAATAGATCACACAAGCTACCTTAGGTTTGAGTGAAATAGCTACAAGTAAATCTCAACTAGAGGAGCAATGATACAGAAAATTTACAATTTGGTTCAGTTTGAWACTTTAGTTCCCCAGTTCAATATTTTTTCAAAGCAAAAATAGAAATGTCCACACTCTTCTTAAATTGTATATTATTGAAATGAATTATGAACATTTGTTTAACCTCAAAAGTTCAGTTTTTAAATTAAATGTTGCTGAAACAGCAGGTATCTCAGTGGATCTGCGCTCCACAATTCAGCCTAGGCAGAGTAGTCGAACACAGATTTACTGAGCCTTCAACACAGAGTATATCCAGAAAACAAGCTGATAAAATAAATATTAATCATCTGTTTTGTTCCATACATAGTGTGTGTGGAACCTAAAGCACTATATTTAAAGGTTCGATACAGATACATGTATTGTTGCTCCCCTAATCTCAACAGATTTTATTCTAAAGCATGAAAGGTGGTGAGCAATATGCATTCCTTTAAGGACTACTGGACTTGTATCATTACCATATAAAATAAATAATAACGTGGGATTACAAAAGATATAAAGGTTTTTTTCCATTGAAAAGAAAAGCAGAATTGTTTTTTTTTTTTTTTTTGTTGTTGTGCTCTGCAGGACCAACAGCTGGATTGCATTTCCTTATCCTCCTTTACTTGTCTGTTTACTGTGATGTATTAACATGAACCAGCATCATTTCATTAAACTCTCTAATTATAAAGTAATATTTGACAACCTCCTCCCTCCCCACACCCCACTTCAGTAAGTTGTAGCCTCATTCGGGTCCACCTGTTTATGATTGCTGTCATGTTTATTAGGTGGGATGCTGCTGCAATGTGATCCCTTATTAAATTAAATTAAAACTAATCAAAAGCAGTATTGGGCCGCAGAGACTGAATTGGCTCGCAATCCCATCTACTTAACATCAACGACCCAGAGTGTGTATACGATATTGGTCTCAGATTGCATACTGTCAGGCTGAAAATTGGCTGATCAGACATATGAGGATTATTGTTTTATCTAATACAGCAGGTCATGGTGGAAGAAAAGCAAGCCTTTTCTTGCTTTTCAGCATCAAAACGAAGGCTTGCAAAGTCTTCATTTATGTCAAACATGGCATGAGTACACAACGATGCATCAGTTCAGAAAATCTGCTGTATAATTGGCTTAGATGTTAATAATAAGAGAGGTGTTAAAGTAAATAGTGGTGTATAAAAATCTGTTTACCAGTTAATGTGCTTTTGCTCATATAAGTAGTGTCAATATCCGATAATACACCTACAGTTGTTGCGCATGACCTTCAATCATTCAGTGAGTATTGATGTTTTCAGCGCAGCGTTGAGATAAAAGCTTTGATTCTGTAGCGTCACAGATGGATGGAAGACGTCTGAACAGACGATCGCTGGTTTGGATCGTAATGATGTTCCGCTTTGTCGTCTTTAAAAGTGTTTCTGCAGCTCGCCTCGTGTTAAACAGGCTGCATTTGTGTTTTTATAGTCTTGTTTACCATTCAAAGCACTTACTGGTGCAAGTGAAATCCATGCATTCGTATAGCAGTTTGTGTGCTTTTTCTCTGTCAAATGCACACTTGCTAATGAATGCATCAGGGACGCTGCAGAGCTCACTATTTTAAGAAATGTTGCCATCACGCTCTGGATTGAGAAGCTGGTGGGAGGGTGACCTTCTGAAGATTTTCTGGCCAATGTATGGTAATACATTTGGCACCTTTTTAGGACCTTTTCTGGCACCGTGTCAGGAATAGTAGTCCTTTTGAGAACCAAATCCCAGTCCTGGATTAGGTTCAGAAGGGTCAGTTATGTACTGTGGGGGGTTAGGTTTAGGGTAAGGGCAGGGGTAAGCTGTAGAAATGAACGTAAGTTGATACATAGTCCTAGTAAGGATAGAAATCCAAAATAGTGTGTGTTTGTGTGTGTGATGACGGTTTGAAAGCAGTTGATAAGAAACATCAATCATGGAGCTGGGTTGCCAGTTTGCGCGATGCTTGATTGCATCAAAAGTCTCAGTTATAAGTGAGGTTGGCTGTTCACTTTCAGATGGGTTTCAGTTTATCAGTTGAGTCTGTGCAGATCAGTGTGGACGCTTGGTTTCGTTGGGCTTTTTATACGGCAGCCGTTGCTGACTGAGAGTTGTCAGTCCTCTTGAACATTTTCAGACGGGTTGTCGTTTAAATACACAGGCTACAGTGGAAAACTCTTGGAGATTCTTAGGCAAATTGGCCATGTTGAGGGTGCAATTAGGTTTCAAAAGTGTTTGCTTATTGTCTGTAATGGACTGGAGGTTTTGTGAAATTTGCCATGAAAATAAACTGAAGTTTGTATCTGCTGTTGCCTCTTTATTAAACTGATTCACTCTGTAAACACACCAAAACTTGCAGGTTTTCTTACTAAACTGTTTATTTTTAATAAATGTGTTCTCTAAACTGCATGTTTTATTAAATTATTCAAGAGGATGTTCTTTTTAAAATAATAATTATGAAGTTCACTAAATTGGATGCCTGATAAAATACTCTGCCCATATCACTGGCCTTTTTTTAATAAGAACCCAGCTCAGAGTTCACTGGGTGCAATTAGAAATCTAGTTGTGTAAATATAACAGTGTTTGTAATTGGATATGTTTTGGTTAGTCGCTATGCCGCTTCATAATTTATAAGTTGGATCACTGCTGAGCATTTTATTTATAAATGCTGACAAGCTGCTGGGGGGAATGGTGACATCCACAGTGTGTGTCCTTTCAGATCATCGTGAACTTTTTTTAGCCAATTTAGTAGTTTGATGTGTTTTTCCCTCTACTTTGACACAATAGTAACATAAACATTTCAAATAGAATTAACTGATTTCCTCCTTCGACTCCTTGGTCATCCATAAATTTATTTAGCCTAGAAGATTCTGTGTTTGCGTGTGTGAGTGTGCATCTCACCACATGGAAACCCGACATTGGGGACCAACATGACCAGCAGCCACTGCTGGCAAGCTGCCCAGTGTTGGGTTTGTACTCATCATTTAAAATGAGCCAAAGCCGCTAAAGGCTTACCATCGGCTACAACAATAGATGTTACCCCAAAGTGAAGTCAGAAATGTTATTACTGTAGTTTTTCAAATCTTAACAACACACAGCTGGAAAAACTCCATGTTTCATTCCGCGGGCAGAGATAGCGTTTGGAAAAACAAGCAAATACAGCAATCTAAGAGACACTTGGTGACTGATGGTGGCTCGGACCAATTTTTCCTCAACCCAGAGCTTTTCCAAAGATTTTATTTTCAATTTTGTTTACCAAGGATACCCATGGAGACTTTGGGCAGTCACTTTTAACATGCATACCTGTTACAGTTCAGGTGTTTTACAACAGAGTAATAATACCTGTTTGAATAAATTAAAATGAATTTTAACCAGACTGATAAGTCTGAACTGAGCCAAAACCAAAGTGGTTTGCTGCTGGTTTAAGGTGGAACCTCACTGTGCTACATGCAGTGGGTATACAACATAAAAATTGAGTCTCATAAATGTCTTGTGACTCCCACAGCTCAGTGAGATACCTGCAATGACCAAAATATTCCTAGTGGTTTACGCAAGCGTCATTTTGTAAACATTTGCATAGCTGTTTGTTTGGCAAGACATAATTATTCTGGCAAAAATGCTGTATGACCCCTGCTGGTTGTACCTCACTCACATTTGCACWGGAGGTGCTTTAGCTAACTGCTGTAGCTTTTACTGTCACTGCTTGTAAATAACCCGGACCACCTATATCGGGTAGGCCGGGTCCTTTGAAGGACCCAGCCCCTGAATTTTGGACACAGACATTGTTTCACAAAACCCCACATTAAGGGTTCTAAAATAATTAAGCATGTTTGGTTTATGATTTGATTTAGTTAAGAAAAAGCTTTTAAATCTGTCTAAACATGTTTGGTTTTTCATTTTATCTTATTTTTCTCACTTCATGGTTAAATTCCCAGCAGCGCTCTAAGCATCTTTTGTCTTTTTCTCTCTTTCCCGTCCTCCAGTGGTGAGTCAAAACTTGGTGACAGACAACGTGGCCGTGGTGGAGGGAGAGACGGCGATCATCAGCTGTCGGGTGAAGAACAATGATGACTCTGTTATCCAGCTGCTCAACCCCAACAGACAGACTATTTACTTCAGAGACATGAGACGTAAGTGTGATAGAACTTCCTGTCTGCGATGTCTTCATCATCGCCCGCTACAGCAGAGAGGTTGATGGGCGATAATGTTTCTTGTGCTACGTGTGCTTGTCCGTGTCCTTTACCATCTCAAAGCTGAGGCACAATATTTTGCCATTTGTTTGCACTAAAAAAATTAAATTTCTTACAAATTTGTARAAAGAAGGAATAAACCAACAAGTCATTATGGATCTGGTGTATACAGACAAATATAACTAAATGCACCATAAGAGCAAAGCAAATGTTCCCATTTTAAAGCTGCTCATTATCATCCTACTATTCATTTGCATGTTCAAGAAGCTGTGTTAATGTCAGCCTACAGGTTTGCAGGCAAATTAACAGAGTGAGGTTTACACAACCTGACAAGCATGTTCAGTTCTCAACAAGTTAACTTTAATAGGAGCAACTCATATCCCTAAACATTTAATGACCTGCTGTGTGTTTATTCTTATCCTGCTCAATTATTGTGTCACGGCTCTAATTAGCCAGGTTTAGCAGGACATGTTGCTTTTTGTTTGGATTCAGGCTTTTTAAATTGTTTTCTGACACCCCCCGCCCCCCTGTGCAGAATGTTTACCTCCTGATACCCAATGCAGGATGAATCAGTAGTGTTGTTTTAAGCCTGAAATGGGAAAAGTATATAGATGTGGTGCTTATTGTTTATTTTTGCTTCCAGCATATTCTGTTGTTCACACACAAGTAATCTGCATAAGCAACGTTCCCACTAAACATATCTGCAACTTTATTACATTATGACTTGTTTGCTGAATAGTTAGAAACTTAATCTGCCCACAATTTACCAAACGTTCCAGTAAACCAAACCTGGCTGGGTTAGAAGTGTGAAGGTTTCAGTTTGTTTTGCCATCAACCCTGATGCTAAAACTCAAGGTTKTTTCGGTTTTAATCACTTCTAGAAACAGTGCAATCAATGCAAAAACACAACAAAGCTTGTTGTTTAGGCTGGTTAATCAAAGGAACGAGTTAATTGTGTCAGCTGACTAGCATGAACTACATTACTTCAGTCTCATTTACCTGGGGAAAAAAAGCCGTGACACAGAGCTATTTTAGCTTGTGCTCATTGTTCTGCTTCTGTTCCTCCCCCCGCTGTGTGAGCCTGTTTATCTAACCTTCCTCCCACACACCGGGCACGAATCAAAGATGCACTTTCTTACATTTGAAGGAAAACACAGCGTTGGATCAGAGAAAGAAAAACAGAGTGTTTATGAAATGATCACATGCCTTCACATTAATATTTATGAAGCATGGTTTTAATGTAGCAGGAAATCTAAATAACAATTTAGCTCCATCCTGGTTCATTTTTTTTGTTTGTTTTGATATAAAAGTTTAACTAGAAACATCTGCTTTGTGCAAATCAGCACAGTGATGTTTTTACATCCAACCAGTTGAGTGTGACAAAACGCTAAAGATGGCGCAAAGAGTGACCTTATTTCAGGACACACTGTCCTGGTCATTATATAATAACAAAAAACTGTGTTGGAGTAATTAATTAATTCCAAAATGTATCAACAAATACAAGCACAACTTCCAAGTTTTATCCATTTCTTGATCTTTCTTATGTTCTAACATTTGGTGACGGGATAAATGGCTCTTTGAAGGGATCTGGATCTTGAGGAGCTGTTTGTTTCATAGAGCCGTTCAAAAGAGCTGTTCGATTTTGAACGAGTTACGTCATCACGTAGGGAAATACATGATGACATCATCACGGTACGTGGGTGGAACCATGTATTTTGTAAAGCTGAAATCTCCTCCCCTTCCCCTCTGAGCTGCTGTACTCAACCGCTCTGCCCATATTTCTTGAAAAAGCAAAGCAGGAGCAGTTGTTTCACTGTTTTCAGGATGGAATAAAGATTATATTGGGAATAAAAAAACTACAAATGGCTCTTTACTGCCCGCAATATGGCTCCTATCATTTTTTGTAAGGAGACGTTCAAAAGGTTTGAATCGTTTGTGAACGTCACATTACAAACACTTCTTCATTTGTGGAGAACAAGTCTAGTAAAATAAACAGACATTTCTTTCCTCAGTGTCCTTCTCCAGCTCCTCGGGGATCCCAACCCCCAATTTAGACTGCGTCCGCTCCACTACGACCTCCACCGTCAAAACATACCCATTTATAATCAATGAGAGCATTTAAACTGCCTCCACAGGGTGGCACAGAAGTCAGTCTACAAAGATCACAACAGGAAAAGGAACGAGCACAACATCTGTATTTCAAAATAGTTTAAAAAAGATGGACTACATTTAGTCGAAATCCTAGTTATATTATTAAATAGATGGTTATATTTATACATACAGCGGGTAAAATAAGTATTGAACACGTCACCATTTTTCTCAGTAAATATATTACTAGAGGCGCTAATGACATGAAATTTTCACCAGATGTYGGTAACAACCCAAGTGATCCATACATACAAAGAAATCAAACCATAAATGTCCAGAAATGAAGTTATTTGTAATAATGTCGAATGGCACAGGGAAAAAAAGTGTTGAACACATGAAGAAAGGGAGGTGTAAAAAGGCATGGAAAGCCAAGACACCAGCTGAACTCTCTCAGTAATTAGAAAGCAAGCCTGCCCCTTGTCAGTGCAARTTAATATCAGCTGGTTCAGTCCCAAATGATGGCCAGGTATCACACAAGAACCATCTGATGATGGGTAAAAGTAAAGAGCTCTCTCGAGACCTTCACAACCTTATTGTTGCAAAGCATAATGATGGCATCGGTTACAGAAGAATGTCTAAACTTCTGAAGGTTCCAGTGAGCACTGTTGGGGCCATAATTCAGAAGTGGAAAGAACATYATTTCACCATAAACCGACCACGACCAGGTGCTCCTCACAAGATTTCTGACAGAGGAGTGAAAAGAATTATCAGAAGAGTTGTCCAAGAGCCAAGGACCACTTGTGGAGAGCTTCAGAAAGACCTGGAATTAGCAGGTACGATTGTTTCAAAGAAAACAATAAGTAATGCACTGAACCACCATGGCCTGTATGCACGCTCACCACGCAAGACTCCACTGCTGAAGAAACAGCATGTTGAAGCTCCTTTAAAGTTTGCTGCACAATATTTAAACAAGCCTGTGAAATACTGGGAGAATATAGTCTGGTCAGATGAGACCAACATTGAACTGTTTGGATGCCAGAATACAAATCATGTTTGGAGGTCAAATGGCACTGCACATCAGCCCAAAAACACCAYACCAACAGTGAAGTTTGGAGGTGGGAACATCATGGTGTGGGGCTGTTTTTCAGCATATGGTACTGGCAAACTTCAAATAATTGAAGGAAGGATGAGTGGAAAAATGTACAGAGACATTCTTGATAAAAATCTGCTTCCATCTACCAGGATGATGAAGATGAAACGTGGCTGGACATTTCAGCAAGACAATGAGCCCAAACACAAAGCCAAGGAAACTCTCAGTTGGTTTCAGAGAAAGAAACTAAAGCTGCTGGAATGGCCCAGCCAATCACCTGACCTGAATCCAACAGAAAATCTATGGAAAGAACTAAAGATCAGAGTTCATAGAAGAGGTCCACGAAACCTTCAAGATTTGAAGACTGTTTGTGTGGAAGAATGGGCCAAAATCACACCTGAGCAATGCATGCCACTAGTTTCTCCATACAGGAGGCRTCTTGAAGCTGTCATTGACAACAAAGGCTTTTGTACAAAGTATTAGATAAATTTCAGTAAGCGTGTTCAATACTTTTTCCCTGTGCCATTCCACATTATTACAAATAACTTCATTTCTGGACATTTATGTTTGATTTCTTTGTATGTATGGATCACTTGGGTTGTTACCAACATCTGGTGAAAATTTCATGTCATTAGCACCTCTAGTAATATATTTACTGAGAAAAATTTTGACGTGTTCAATACTTATTTTACCCGCTGTACTGTACATGCTGTACAAATGTATCATTCCGTTTGGGAAGCAGATGGTAGCATTCAGTGTGTAGCATTTGCATGCATACAAACCATTCAAGTTTTATTTCGAAATTTGGATTAAATAAAAGATAACAACGATGCAGTTTCTACTGTTGTTTCTGGTCCGTCTTCCACAGAATGAATTAATTTGGTCTTACTTCCACATTAATCGCTGGCTTTATTGCACAATCTAGTATTCCCTGCTCATGCTTCTCAGAACATCTCTGTGCTTTGCAATGAATGGCGGCAACGTGTGTGGCAGACTGGAGCCATGTGCGGTGTAAATCCAGGGTAAGAAGTTATCAGGTCAGAAAGGGAAGAAGAGACCAACAGAACCACATCAAATGCAAAACATAGTTGAAACTCTGGTGATCTCAAATCTGACTCTGTCCTCACCATGACAGCTCAAGATCCTGTCCACAAACACCTCAGACAGCACCAGAGACAAGAGACAGCCCTTATTTAGACCAACACACAAAAAACCCTGAAAAACTCCTGCTTCCTTATTGTAGCCACTAGAGAATTYGTGCCTGCAACCAAAAGCCTAAACTAAAATTATTTTTTATAGTCTTCACCACAAGGGTTTTAGTTTAAGATAGTTTAACAAAGTATCTGAGTAGATTAGAAGCATTGGAATTACCAGCATCTAAGCTTTTAGCAGCTGCTGGTAAAGAGCAGCAAACCAGAGTATAAAGGAAGAAAAACAAATAATGATGGCCTGTTTTGCTAAAGATGCTTCTCTACCATTTGGAAGTTGTTTGTTGGTATTTTCGTAATTTCTAAAATAATTACTAACTAAATCCTCATAGATAAATAGATTTTCCCCAATCTTTATTATCTGATGTGCACAATTACGTCTTAATGTTTTGACTTCTTTCTTTCTTTTTCATCTTTTCTTTTTTTTTTTTTTTTACAAAAGTTGAACACAAACAAATCGTCCATGAACTTGTCAAGTAGAGACTATGGTGAGGTGAAGCACCGGGTACATTTTCAATCCACCCCACACACACACACAAACACACTCACCACTT